CACACACACACACACACACACACACACACACACACACACACACACACACACACACACACATACACACACACATCTATTTATATACATATGGCTCAATAATTTGCGAGAATATATGCTTACATATAGTGCAAATTTTTGCATAAATTATGAAATAGAAAATTAATTGAAAATTTTGAAATTGTAATTTGACGGGAGAGAATAGCGATGATAAGAAAGTTTGAAGCTTTACCTTTACGTTTCTAATTTTTACCTTTCTCTATATAAGCATATATTTACCTTTCTAATTTCAAAATTTAAATATTTTCATTAATATGAATTATTTCTTCCTGAGACTTTCATAGGTTTGTACATATTATCTCAGCAAAAGTTACAATGATCGAATATAGGAAAAGATATATGAAAATCTATTCCATAATATTTTGAGGATAATACAAAATATTTGAGAAGCGAGGAAGATATGAGGATGAAAATGCATCTCATCTAGGAGAGAGATGTACATTTCAGATTGTTTAGTTTTTTCTTCTCTCTAAGATTTGTACTTTTCTAAAATGATGATCTGAAGTTACTTTTAGAAGAAATATAGTACAATCGGATTATTTCTATATTTTCCGGTATATTTCGGTCATTTCTGGCATATTCTTTGGTATATTCCAATTATTTCTGGTATATTCTCTGATGTATTCCAATCACTTTGATATATTCTCGAATATATTCCGATATATTCTCTGGTATATTCCTCTAAAGAGTATATGTGGTGTATTTTTACCCATTTATGAATTTTATATACTCTGCTAAAATTTCCAAATCCCGTGCGATAGACTCTTCGTTTCATTTTTCACTCGATTCTCTTTCATGATTTTCTCAGTATCAGGAATTTTTCAAAATGATTGCCTAATTCCATCCGGTCTAAAAAGCCTGAAGGACTCAAGAAAATAAATTTCAGGATCTCAGGTAAATGCCTGACCATATGTATTGTACTCAAAATATTGCATTCTTCAGGTCCGAATCGTCGGACAGCTAAGAGAATTGGTTTATCGATGTGATCAGACAACGAAAGCATGCTCCACACATTACTTTCAGGTGAGTTTTAAAGAAATTATTTCTTCCAAAGATCCCACCTGTTCCACTAATTTGACCTTTTCTATTACTATGACCTTTTCTACCAATATACTCCTCACTGAACAGTTACAATTGAGTTAAAACTTCATGAGTATAAGTAACTAGCCTAAACTTCTGATACAACAAACGGATATGATAATTTGCAAAGGAGGTGATTCATTATGGTACCAAACTATTACTGTAGCTTTCTAGAATTGATCATCAACATTTCCTCAATAAATTGATTCGGGATTTCAACTTTCTCCATTTCCTCTCTCTCTTTCTTCCTACAGAAAAGTTAAATAGCTATTCCAGTCACGTTCAATCACGATTTGGAATGGATCAGATCGCATTCCGTAAAACCTGATCGTTGTAAACAAGATGATAGTTGGTTGTCCCCTATGGCATATGATAGTTAGTTGGTCCTTTAAGGCCTAATAAGGTTCTCAATTTTGGTATACCCATCATATATTTGCTACTCATTCATTTTCTCATTCTCACTTTAAAATCAATTCACATCACTATCTGTACTTTTTTCCCTTCCTTTCCTCATTTTTTTCCCTTACACTTCCCTCTCTTTCTTTCTCTTTCCCTCCCTCTCTCTCACAACTCATGCTTCCCTCTCCTTTTGCTAACATTATCTATTATAGGCATTTATCTTCACTTCTTCCTTTTTTCAAATCATCATTGACTTACAGGCCTAAGGCCAAAGCCTCGAAAGTGTATTTCAATCATCCATTACCTCTCATTTTATCTCTCTTAAAATTCCCCTTACAATTCCCATAAATTGTTTTAATTTGTATAATTGTAAAAGACCTTCTCTTTCCTAAACTTTCTTCTACAGTCTATCGTTTACCGATAAATTCCCATCTTTACCAATAAATTTCCGTTTCTAGCAAGTAATTCCCGCCCCTTCCGATAAATTTCCTTTTCTACCGATAAATTCCCGCTCCTAGCGACAAATTTCCGCTTCTACCGATAAATTTCCCCCCCCCCCCACCAATAAATTTTCGTTTCTAGCGATAAAGTTCTATCCACGTATAATTACGAAATTACGGCGGAAAAATTAAATGTCAATCAACAATTCGATCGAAAATACAAACAAACAATTAAGAGTAGACCATCTATCGGTTAAATGAAGCGTTAATGAGCAAATGTTATCAAAGCATTATCCATTCGCGCTTTTATGATGCACAAAACTGACCAGAAAGCTGTAATTGACCAGGATATTTGTGGTCATAATTGACCAGGGAATCATAACCGACAAAGTAATATAACCAATTAAAATATTGTAATTGGCCAAAGTGTTACCGAATCACACAAACGTATTAGCATTAATTACAACCACATTAATATTCTACAAAAACGACACATGTTTTTTCTTACTGTCATAGAACTAGCAGTTATTGTTGACCTTTCAACCTTTAACCTATAGGTATCTTAATTATTTAGAATGTTTCAACACTAATTTATCCTTTTGTCAAAATCCATAGCATGCTAAAACTTTCAAGTTTCATTCAATTTCCTAACAACTTTGTATATTTCGATACAATAATTAAATACTAAATATTCAAGGAAATAAATTGGATAAAATGATAATTTTCAATTAATTTTATCTAATATCAAGCAATTACTAAATAACATTACTGAACGAATGAATTGAATATAGTTAAGCAAAATGTTGTAATTATATTGTTGATCGATGATCCCGATATTTACCGATCATTTTCTCCTTTCGCTATTCATCTTTCATCTAGAATTATTGATTATCTAAACTGAATTAAATTGCTGCTTTTCAGTCTTAGGCATATTTTTCCTTTAGTTACTTGACAAATATTATCCGATCCATAAGACATTCTTCTCGATCGTTGAAGCAGATAGATTGCAAACCATTTTTGGACTTCCATCTCTTTCGAAGTAAATTCTTCTCAATGTTTGTAAACAAATCTTTTCGTAAATAGACTAAATTTACTTGCATTTTTCCTTTTCTAATATTTAATCAACATTGGGACTATATTTATTTTGTTTACCTTCCGTGAAAACGTGACCTTTCACGTCTAACGGATCAATTCGTAAGATTGTTGATCTTGTGATCATAATAACAACATCGAAATATCCTAGACAGTTTTATGCTGATATTATTTAACTTCCTTTAAGTTTTCTCTATTTCTTTCTCTTTAGCAGAATATTTCACCAATATATATTTATTGAGGTGACATTAATCTTAAATGTTTACTTAAAGTGAAAACTAAATGATTTAATTTAAAACTTCACACACTAGCATAATTTTACTCTCAGTTGGTTTGTTTATTTGCGCTTTAATATAAGTCAATCAAGATTTAAGACTTTTAAGTTGACTTTAAGTCATCATTCAACTTTTATGTCATCTTCCGTGTCAACGTTCTATCAAAATGCAACATTTTTAATTTTTGACTAATGCTCTGGCTTAAAATATGATTTTCAAATAAATCAGATAAAAAATTATCAGGTTGAATGCGATAATTAGGACTGTATTTGAATTTCTTGGAAAATAAAAAATCTTTTTTTTGAGTTCTTTTGTATTACTGTTAAGTTTTATTGACTTAAAATATTTGAAAACACAACCTTTAATTTTGTTTTTTTCCTATTTTCTACGAACTTATTTCAAATCATCTACAGGCATTAGCAAATTTGTGGGTACCACAACCTGGAAAGTACCACGAGTTCGCGGATGCTACACGAACTTATATTCCCGGGGCTGAATACATGTCCTTCTTACAAAATCTTCCACGTCGTACCGTCTCCACTGGATCACTTTTTCGGTATGTATCATATTTTTTTAATATGGTGATAAAATTTATAAATTCTTATCCTAATAATGTAACAGAGCAAATATTATTGGTCATTTTAATGAAAATTTTAATTATTCCAATTATTAATAATTTGCAGAGGTGACAATGGTGACGGTATATCATCAGGAAATCAAACTTCTTCATCTTCATCCGTTTCATCGCAACGACGAAATGCGGTTGATTTAATGGACCAAGATGTAATGATCGAACGAAAGCAGAAAAAAAATGCCGGCATGTTTTGTTAGAATCAAAAAAAAATGATAAAAAAAATTGTTATTTCAAAAATATTTAATTCTTATATTATTCGTTTAACATTTGAATTTTAAAATTAAAAATTTATTCATTTTAAATAAAGATAAAACAGAGATTTCCATTGCTCACGTTAATTTTTCAATTTGTAATCAAAATCTAGAATTTCAAAAATTAAGCTAAAAAAAATTCCAAATATAATTTTACTTATGATCCACTAAAGATGTTGACAATTGTTGCAAAATTAATTTATTGTTCGACGATGTCAGTCTATTTTTAGAACAATTAGCTCAATTTGACAGATTTTTAAAAATGCTTTTTTAATATATTTTCCAATACATTTCTGCCATTTGATCTTAAACCTTCAGATATCACATGTTAAATGTCTTTTTCTTTCTATTCTTTGGTTTATTCCAAACTTTTAATTAAATTTCTAATTTATAATTTAGCCTTTTAATTCTTTCAATTTTTGGGTTCAATTTTTCGCGACGTTTTTAAAATGCTTTTTTTACCTAACATTAATTTTTATCTAAATACTTAAAACATTTGCAAAGAAAACATAAAGTCATATCATCGTGCCAATTTTTTCCTGTCAAGCTTTTCCTTTCAACCTTAATTCTTTCTCAGGGCGCAACTATCGGAAATGCATTTTGGCTTACCATAATTAGTCATAGCACAATGTGGATAGTAAACGTGAAGATGAAGTGTCGATTGCAGTAAAGGGGAAATTTTCTGCTTGGAAATTTGGATTCAATTAATTTTAAAACACTTTGTTCCTTTCTCCTAAATTGATCATTTATTCATCCCTTCCATTCATTTCATTTATTCATTTATTTATTCATCCATTCAAATGAATGAATATTCATTTCTTTTTTTTTCATTCATTCATTTATTTCTTTCCCTCATCCATTCGTTAATTCATTTCTCTCATTCAGTCATTCATCCACTCATTCATTCATTCATCCACTCATTCATTCATTCATCCACTCATTCATTCATTCACTCATTCATCCATTCATTCATTCATTCACTTATTTATTTATTTATTTTTTATATATTTATTTATTCATTGATTCATTGATTTATTGATTTATTCGTTTATTTATCCATTTATTTATTTATTCATCTATTTATTTTTTATCTATTTGTTTTTTACTTATTTATTTATTTTTATTTTTTTCTATTTATTTATTTTTATTTGTCTATTTATTTATTTTATTTAATTTATCTGTTTATTTTTACTTATTCATTTATTTGTTTATTTATTCATTTGTTTATTTATTTATTTATTTATTTATTTATTTATTTG